TTACTGTCTGAAACTGTAGCTCACCACAGATATACGCCTGAAAGTGCGCAGACGCAGAAAAAGATAGCTAACGGGACGAGCACGTAGGACGAGACCTTACGTAAACATATCACCAGAATGATTGACAACTAGGATAGACCACTTAAGATTATCCACCCAGAAATAAAAGATCATCCTCTATAGCTTTAATTTCTCTAAGCTTTTCAGATCAGAACAACCTCATGCCATTGGAGTTTGTTGTTCTCTGGGATTGTTTTGATCGAAGAGGGAAAGGAACAATAAGAGTAAAGTCTGCCTCATGGGCTTTCTGGTGCTCCCTTGGTGTTGTTAAAATGTCGCTGTAGGGCTACTTTACCGCTCCTTTTTGTCCAATTTTAAAACCATTTCTACCTCCTCTTTTCCACATTTTTGGGGGGAAGCGGAGTCCTTGTCCACCTCCTCTGTCAGCCTTTCATAGGCCTTTCTACGGCAGGAATCCTAGAACCTGTTGGTAAAAAAGGCAATTAAGGATGCCGTCAAGTTGAAGCGGTTCTATCCAGGGCATGTGGCTTTTTTGGACTCTCAAGGCAGCATTGGGTCCAAGTAAAAGCAGGATGGTAAAAAAATTAACAGGCAACCCAGCCCTGGAAGGGATTTATAATTATACTTTCAAACCACAAATAATTTAAGGCATCTTCTCCTTTCGAATGGGTCTGTTAAGTCAACTAACTAACTAATAAACAAAGTGGCCTTAAATATCAACTTCACAGTCATTAAATGTAGTTTCTTTGTCTCCTTGGCTGTTTGTTAACAGTTCTCTCTCACATGATGCAACCAGTAATACTACTAAGTGGAATTAAAAGTCCAAAATCTGACTTGGAGGAAAGTACTGCCTTCTAAGACTGAGCTTTGCCATTTAACAAAGTGACAAATGTTTTAATTCTTTTATTAAGATCTGAGGGGAGGGGAGGACAGATGGAACAACCTAAAAATGACTTTCGTAAATATTTTAGACAAATAAAACCATTATTTCTACTAGAAAACAAACAGTTGAGACAAATTTAAAAGTATTGTAGCTTATTATGGCTAACTGACCGAGCTAAAAGAGGCTAACCTGTTAGCTACTCAGCACAGCTAGCCACAGTGCTACCCAGCTCTCCCCCGTTATATCATGGTCTAACAGTAACTTTCTTCACCGTAAACAGATTTTTTTCTGTTTTATTGATCAGGTAAAACTTCATCGGTCATTAGACACGCTAACGCTACAGAAGCTCCAGGCTCGGTACATGGACGCTGCGCGATGTTATCATCGTTGTCTGGGCAACCCCTATGTTTTAAATCATGTGGCGATGTTCAGCTAATGATGTTGCGTAAAGTCACTGGCAGTGGTACCTACACCGGCAGAGTAGCACCATAGCACATCACCTCAGCTTCCAGTGAAACTAAACCTGATTTATGCTCAGAAACCAGGTTGTCTGCGTGTATGTCACAGTTAACGCAAATATGACCAACCCCCCCAGTAGCTGTGTGTGACGGTCTGTTTTTTGCACCCGAAGCCAAAAAACGCCACGGCCAGTCTTTGGGAAACCCTCACGGGTTAACTGTGTCATCCGGCGTTCAATGAGGGGGTGTAGACAGCGAATAAGCTCGTCAAACTGACACATGAACACCCATAATCCTAGCTAGTTAGTGGTTGTCCCTCTTGCGTTGTGGCTTGGAATATCTGCATCATACCTGCGACAAAATGCTGCGGGAGGATACCCAGCCCTTTAGGTGCCAGATTGATGTTTTTTTTTTTTTTTTGATTTTCAGAAATATGTCTGGATAAACCCTTTACTCCAAAGAGCTGCTGTATATGTTTAACAGAACCTGACTAAGATCAGCTGGAATGAGGAAGTTGTGATGGAGCAGATAAAGTCCCTTTCACATGAACCCTGACTGCAGACGCGGTAGAATGGATTTACCTAATACCACCATTGGATGTACCTAATATCACCTGCAGTCTGCAGTAATGCCAGAGATGGAGCTCTTAGTGATCAAGCACAATTTAAGCGAGACATTACATCTGACCAGCTACTGATTGGCTAATGCAGGCGATGGCTTGTAGAAAAGGGTCGTTTCTCAATTCACAAGAACGCAAGTACGGACTTGTCTTTAGATAATGATAAGTTATTACTTTTTTCATTTTGTAGGAGGAATAATGATGGACACAGTCAGATAAACACAAATCAAATGAAAATTTTGCCAAATAATACAAAAAAGTCGCCATCAGGGTCAGCGGTCGTTCACACACGGCTAGGCCGAGAGAGGGCTGCTGCAGACGGGCTCAGGTTAGCCCCAGCTGTCGTTACCCTCGGAGGTCCGCTGGTTGCCGCGGTCCTCACAACTTCAGAAATCTTTTTTTTTTTATTACCCATTAAATCGGTCAATGGACAATATAGTGACATTTTAAGGTATAATATTCTCGCCTGAAATTATCTTAAAACGTACTTTTATTGAACAACAGCAACAGAAAGAGAACTTTAAACTTTCAATGGAGCGCTTCATTGAAAGCATCTGCTGCCGCAGTGCATGCTGGGACAGCTGTCAATCTCAAGAACGGCAGGTCTGCTCTGATGCATACTCGATAAAGGGGGCGGGGCGAGAACAACTTCTGGGGATTTAGTGCGTTCTCGGGTATTGGAACAGTGCTCGGGCTGAGGCTAATGACTTTTCACGAGAACGCTCAAGAACGCATATTGAGAACCGGCCCAGTAGTTCTAACAGTTGTTGGTAGCGTTATGAAAACTTCTCACAAAATCTATATTGGTCAGGGCCGTTGCTAGGCAACATATTACCACCAACGCTACACAGTTGTCTTGTTTTTTTTCTTATTTTGATTGGCAGAATGCATTTTTTTTTTACTTCAATGTGTAACGTCATCATTTCTGACAATTTTCTTGCTGTTTTGAAGTTTTTCCTTTTTACTGATTAAAAATATTGTTTGTTGTAGCTTCTCAACATTTAGACTACTTTTTTTATCGCTGTCTTTTTATTGAGTTTTCCTTTTATACATACAGTTTGTAAATTAAAAAAAGTATTTATCTAGCAAAGATAGATATAAAATAATCTACAGAAAAAACAACAATCCCTACAAAAAAAATCCCATTTAGCCCTGCCAGGTCACTACCAAGAGGTCAACGCACTACTTTCCTATCCCTGACTGAGACAGAACACATTTTAATAAATCTAAACCTTTTTAATCTGGAGCATTATTGTAAGTTTTGGAATGAGTCAAGAAAGGGCCCCCATATTTCTTCAAATTTACCAGTTGAATGTCGAATAGAACACACTGCGTGTGAGTTGGAGGAGTCACACCCTTCTACCTGGTCAGAACTGTGCGCCACGCTAACAGTGAGCAGAATGCCAGTGCCTGTCATTTAGAGGCTGGTAAAGGCGACCCCTCACCACTAAAACCATCTGTCCAGAAATGACCAAGAGTAGGGCAGGACCAAGACTTATGGACCAGTGTGGCTACAGCAGTTTTGCATTTATGGCAGTAAGGGGTGACTCCTGGATAGAAACAGGATAGTTTGTCTTTGGAGAGGTCTGCTCTATGTACTATTTTAAACTGAACATTTAGACTACTTTTAAAATTTTTTTAATCAAAGCTTAGACACTCTTAGGGCAATACACTGCCTCAAACATGTTCTAGATTTAAGGAGAACGTTTTCTCCCACCCTGGTGTTTCCTGGTGTTAGTTTGCACTGAAGTGCCAACAGGGGTCTCATTCCCGGTAATTCATCAATCAAATCCTCCATCCCCTTTTTTTCTTTGTGTTGCGCCTCATTTTATTCAACACTGCAAAAACAATCTAGAGATAAGTAATAAATTCTTATATTAAGTGTATTTACCCTTAATTTGAGTAGGTAAATAAGTTGAACTTCCAATGGAATGAGTATTTTTACCCTTAAAATAAGATCATTAGATATGCACTTGAAGTAAGTGATGGCAGTAGTGTTTTACTATTTTAAAAGTAAATTGTCTTGTTCCATCGCCAAAGTGTCTCACTTATCTGCTCAATAAAAGAAAAAAAAAAGCACTTATTTTAGGAAATATTGACTAAGATTTAAAGTTATTGTCGTGTAGAAGAGCTTGGTCTGAGGTGCTGTTTTCATTGGCCAGGGAAGAATGAATGAATTCACTGCTGCACTTTTGATCTGCGGTTTTGGAAACCGATGGAAATGCCTCGACTTGGTCACGCAGTTGCAGCAAATTGATTTAGTTTTTATTACTGGAGTGCTGGTTGTAGATTGGATGAATAGCATTTCAGAGGGAATTGGATTATGGATATTTGGGTTGAAAATTTTCCTTTTCTAGCAAATGTTAAACCACCTTACTGAGAGGCAGCGGGCCAATCATGTGTTGTGCTGAATGAACCAAAAGCAGCAGTGAGGATCCTGCCTTCAATTGATCATTTCAGAGTTCCTAAAATCTCACTTGTTTTTCTAAATATGTCTGAGAAGCATTGTTCCCTCTCTCTGTCTCATTGGTTTTCTGGATAGACTCCTTTAACTTTAACCTCTTAAGGCCCAAGCAGTTTTTTTACGTACATTTTTTATTTCTCTTTGTTATTTGGGCTTGTTTGAACCCAGTTAGAATAAAAGTGAAACATCATATTTCAATGTTATTCAGTTTTAGAGAAAAAGGATGTACACATAAAACACAATTAAGTCAACTTTGGATAAAAGAGTGAAAAAACTCTTTATTTCCACCTTAAACGCAGCAGTTTCTGTCAGGCACTGGGACTTAAACAGACTGATTCACTTCTGTTATTTCACCATTTCTCTTTCTGAACTTTAAGCAGCCAGATCACAGCACACATTGCTCTGCCGCTCAGTTAAATTCCCCTTTTCTTCAGGACTTTTCTTTTCTTATGATGTTTAGAGAATTTTTCTGTCAATATTTTCCCTTTGCCTGATTTGTTCTCATTAGTTTCTCTGCACCCCCTCCTCTCCTTTCCACACATCCTGTTCATTCAGGTGGTGAGTCAGCGGTTCCCTCAGAACAGCATAGGTGCGGTGGGCAGCGCCATGTTCTTACGCTTCATCAACCCAGCCATTGTGTCTCCCTACGAAGCAGGCATCCTGGATAAAAAGCCCCTGCCCAGAGTAGAGAGAGGTCTCAAACTCATGTCCAAGGTAAGTCCTGGAAACCATTTACTCTTCTTGGAAAATGGAAAAATTACCCATTTCTATTCATTTTGATTCAAATTAGTATTTTAAAGGAGAGTATCCTGCAGAACGACTCTGAAATACGTATAAATCTGCACATAGAGTCCTTAAAAGTCCAGAAAAAGTTGTATTTAGTCTCCAGGTTCTTATATTTAGATGCTGTTTGAAGCATATTTTCCAGGTTTCTTCATCCTCTTGCATTTCTCCGTATTTGTGTGGAACTATTAAAAGGTCATGGAAACCCAACCAGCAACTCCGCCATTTTTTCTCTCTCAGTATTTTTGTTGTTCAAGTCTTGAAACAGCAAAGATCCTCTGCTCAGAATGAACACAAAGACAAAACAGACAATGTAAAGCGCTTTCACTGCAATAAATGGAAATCAAAGTCATTTTAGCTTAAATTAAGTGCATTTTTTCCTTAGTTGGCAAATGGAACAAGACAATTTATATTTAAAATAAGAAAAAAAGCATTAGAAAACCAGCATTCAGACGCCTGAGGAGCAATAATAAGAAATCCAGACCAAAGCACTGCAGTTCCACTTTATGAAACGAAAGTTACGTATGTAACTACGGTTCTATGAATCCCGGATGACCGCCAGAGGGCGGTGCTGAAAGCACTGAATGTTCCCTTCGGGCATGCGCAGTTCGAGTAATTATACCAACAGACACCTGTGACACCGGATGACCACTCAGAAGCTATATAGCCTGGTGTCATCCTTTGCTCTGCTCCTACAGAATCTTCTCGCAAAAGCAAGGATTCTGAGTGACAGAAGCTCTGGCGGTCATCCGGGATTCATAGAACCGTAGTTACATACGTAACTTTCGTTCTATTTCATCCCTACTGACCGCCAGAGGGCGGTGCTGAAAGCACTGAATGACTAATGCCAACGATGTCACAAGGAATCCTGAGCACATACCTCACAGAGGAGGCCCAGCAGAACCTTGTAAAAGGACCTGACCCAGGGGATGAGGGGCAGCCACATTGACACTGTAGAACCTGGTGAAGGTGGTTGGGGAAGCCCATGAAGCAGCAGCACATATAGCTTCCAGCGGAACCCCTCTCAAAGCAGCCCAGGAAGCGGTGACGCTCCTGGTGGAATGTGCTCTCACACCGACTGGCAGAGAGCAGTGACCTGCAGCGTAGGCGTGGCAGATGACACTCACAATCCAATGGGACAGACCCTGTTTAGAAAGAGGACAGCCTAACCTTGGACCCCCATAGCAAAGGAAAAGCTGGTCCGAGCGTCTCAGATTGGCGGTGGCTGCAATGTATGCCTCCAACGCTCTTACTGGGCACAACAACTCAGACTCATTCTCAGTTGTACCAGATTGAGGCTGAAACCGAGCCAGCCGCAATGGCTGGTTACGGTGAAAAGGAGACAACACCTTAGGCACAAACGCAGTATTAGGCCACAGGGTAACACCAGAGCCATCTGGATTCCACCTGATACACCTAGGGCTGACAGAAAGAGCATGTAGCTCGCTGACCCTCTTAGCTGAGACGATAGCCATCAGGAAAGCAGTCTTGCAGGAAAGCCACTAGAGTTCTGCTTGTGCCAAAGGCTCGAATGGAGGGTGGCACAGAGCTGTGAGAACCAACGGCAGATCCCAATCTGGGGCTCGTGGGGCTGGCTGCTGGCACAACCTACGAGCACCACGCAGAAAAAGTGAAACCAGTTCATGGCGCCCCACTGTACTGTTGTCAACAGTTCGGTGAAGACATGAAATTGCTGCAACATACACTTTAAGGGTCGAAGGAGAGCGGCCCTTATCAAGGAGAGGCTGGAGGAACTCCAAAATAGTGGGCACCGAGCAGGAAACTGGGTTCTCATTGTGGGCAGAGCACCACTGAGAAAAGAGGCGCCATCTGTTAGCATACTGCAGCCGAGTGGAGGAAGCCCTAGCACTCAATATGGTGTGTCTCACGGTGTCTGAACACCCAGTCAGCCTCCCAGGGGCCATGCCCACAGCTGGAGACGTTGAGGGTTGGGGTGCCATATCTGTCCCCCCAACTGAGACAGCAGATCCCTCCTTGCTGGAAGACGCCATGGAGTACCGTGACACAGACTCCAAAGCAGCGGGAACCACGGCCGCGCTGGCCAGAACGGAGCTACCAGCAACACTCTGTGGCCCTGCTCGAGAACCCTCCTTAGAGTCGGCCAAATCAGTGAGAGGGGTGGAAAGGCATACAGGAGAACTGCGGCCATGGATGAGCCAGTGCATCCTGGCCCAGTGCGCCCGCCATCCCGGTTAGGGAATACCATAGGGGGCAATGGGTCGACTCCTCTGTGGCGAACAGATCTACCTCTGCCTGCCCAAAGAGGTTCCAGATTATGCGCACTACGTCGCAGTGAAGAGACCACTCTCCCGGAGCAGGTGCCTGGCGGGATAGAGAGTCCGCAACCTGGTTCTGCCGTCCTGGCAGATACGCTGCGCGCAGGGTACACAGACGGGGAAACGCCCATTCCAGGAGATCCCTCGACACCTTCAAGAGACGTGCTGACCTGGTGCCACCTTGGTGGTTTATATGATAAAACAACAGAGGTGTTGTCTGTCCGAATCAGCACGTGCCTTCCCTCTAGGTGGGGCAGAAGGCACCTGAGGGCCATGTGCACAGCCCGCAGCTCCAGCACATTTATGTGTTCGGTGCGCTCCCTTGGGTCCCAAAGACCCCGAACAGCTCTGTGTTGCCACACGGCACCCCAGCCCATGAGGCTGGCATCCGTGGTGAGCACCTCCCTTCGACACACTACTAGCCCCATTGGAACACCACTGGACAAAAGGGTCCCGTCTCGCCAAGGAGCTAGGGCATGGAGGCAGCTCCTGGTCACCATTAGCCTGCGATGCCTGTGCAGCCTGGCGTCTAGGCGAAAGCTGTTGAGCCATCGCTGCAAAGGACGCAGAAGGAGCAGCCCTAAGGGCACTACACGAGTGACTGATGTCAGTTTGCCCAGCATTCGCAGGAAGATGATGTAGGGAAACTCCCTGCCCAGTCTGAATCGACGGACAAGCTGGAGTATGTCGTCCACCCTGTGAACAGATGGACGGGCCATCATGGTAGCAGAGTCCAGATGCATCCCAAGAAAGGTGGTTGTCTGAGATGGAACAAGACAACTCTTTGCCAAGTTGACTTTGAGGCCTAACAGTGACACATGAAGTAGAAGCTGGGACGTATCCCGAGAGGCAGCTACCTGAGAGGGAGCACAAAGAAGCCAATCGTCCAGGTATGGCAGAATCCTGACTCCGGAGGCCTGTAGAGGAGAGAGGGCTGCTTTCACGCATCGAGTAAACACCCTCGGGGAAAGGGAGAGCCCGAATGGGAGCACCCGGAATTGCCAATGGCGCCCCCGATAGGCGAACCTGAGAAAACGGCGATGTTCTGCCGCAATAGGCACATGAAAGTAGGCGTCTGTCAGATCTACTGATGTAAACCAATCTCCCGCCACAATGGTCTGAAGGACCTCTGTTATGGTGAGCATGTGGAAGGGAAGGACCTTCAGGTACCGATTCAGTACCCTTAGATCTAAAATGGGGCGAAAACCGCCGGTCTTCTTGGCCACAAGGAAGTATGTGGAGTAGTAGCCTCTGGGTTGCCGCAGAGGATCTACAGACTCGATTGCCCCCTTGCCCAGGAGGGCGGAAAGCTCCTAGTCTAGTGCCTGAGATTTCACCGGGTCTGTGATGACAGTCATCTTGACCCGGTGTGAGAGGGGGGGCCGCCGTCGGAACTGGAGCCTGTAGCCATTGGTTAAGGTGGCAACCACCCATGGATCTACGGCATGAGCAGCCCAGAAATTCAGCTGCTGATGGGAAAAATGTCCGACGGCTGGCCCGGTGGCATCATCTTCTATCCCCACGGCCCCTGGGGGCTCTGGGGGGAGGGCGTCCAGGATTTGCAGCCCGGGTCTGTCTAACAGGGCGGCAGACTGGCTCACGAAAGTCCCTCCTCGGTCTCTGCCGTACATCATGGGGATAGGAACCAATAGGTCTGCCACCAGTCTGAGGTCGTGGCTGAACGCTGGGGGTAGTGGCAGGGCGGCCCGAACGCTGGGGAAAGGCAGGTATGCTCCTGCGAAGGCCGGAAAGCTGCTGGCTAGTCTGACGTGCTTGAGCAGTCCGTTCCAGCGCCTCCAAGGCAGCTGATCCAAACAGCTCCCCTGGTACAACCGGGACACCCCTGAGGGTCCTACGGCATGCTTCAGTCAGAGGAGATTGTGCCAACCAGACCTGTCTACGAGCTTGGACAAAGAAAGACATCACCCGTCCAAGCTCTCTGGTCATCAGCGCTAAGGCCTGCAGCGCTGCGTCACTATAACCAACCGCCGCACTTGCACCACCAGTGTCCTGAACAGATGCAGACAGGGCAAACATGAGGTGCGCCAGAGAATTGCCAAGGCGGCCAGCACGCGCTCCTGCATTGTACGCCTTACAGAGGAGGTCATCTGTAACCCGACATTGAGTCCGCGGGCACCGGACTTCAGGACGCAGGGCTTTATCTGGTGACACAATCAGTGAAGCAACAGCTGGTTCAATTGCTGGCATACGGTCCAGGCCGGCCTTCACCGACTCATGCATGGCAGCTAATACACGACCATCCGATGAGAGACGCGACAGCGCTCTCGGTTCCCGCCAACAGGCGTGTAACTCCTTCAAGTACTCCTCTGATGGAGGTACAGAAAAAGGAGTAGGAGCCCTTCCACGTCTGAAAAAGGCACTGCCGGAGCTGGATGCCTCTCCTTGTGGGAGTTCCAGCTGCAGCTGCTTCAGGGCCATAGACATGACCTCCCGCATGGAACCGTCACCGGCCTCTCCAACCGCACTCTGAGATGAAAATGAACCAGCCTCAGAGGCTTGAGAGGACCCTGCCTCCTCCTCATCTCTAAAATGAGAAGCGGAAGCAGCCAGAGAGATAACGTCATCCTCTACAACCAGCTCGGGCATTGGTGGGGAAGAGAGCCCAACCACTGGGAGCGAGGGATCAGATTGCCGTGTCTGCAACAAGGACTTCATCTCTGCCAGCTCTGCTGACAACTGCTCCACCCTTGTGGACAGGCCCTGGTCAGGTTTGGCCCGCTTCCTCCGGGGGAGGGGCACAGATGCTGTGGTCCAACCACGGCGCTTAGAACGCTTGGGGGGAACCACCTGCCCAGAGGGCGGAAGGTCCGAGCCCTCCTGGGGGCACAACTGGGCCAACCGGGCCACCCTCACTGCATGGGGCATAAAGCTGCAGTTCATACAGGGGTTCTCAGACAGCGCCTCCAAAAGGTGCTCATGTCCAAGGCAGGTAGGGCACAGGTCGTGGCCATCCTCTGCCTGCAGGGCAGCCCCACAATCCATGCAGCTGTGAGAGCCATCCATGTCGAAGGCCGACAAGGCTTAAAGAACAGAAAGTTATCGAAAATCGGGAGAGGGGGCGCAAACGCAGCCGTCACCAATTACAGCAGAGAAACGAAAGAGGCTGCGAGCACAAGGCAGCCGATACTGGGAGAGGGGGCGAGAACCGCTACCGTCACCAGGTATAAAACCAATAAACCAAAAAAGCTAACAACGTTAGCTGTATGGAAACTTAAGTTGGGAGTAGGAGCGAACAACGCTGCCGTCACCAATTAAGAGAGCAGACCAACGAAAAAGGCTGCAAAAAAGGTTCATATTGGGAGAGGGGGCCAAAACGCTGCCGTCACCATTTATAACTAAGCAGACCGATGAAGAAGGCTGCAAACAAACCAAAAAAGGCTAACAACGTTAGCCGTCTCCAACTTCGGCAAACGAAGTAGACCACACTTGGTTTGGAGAGGGGGCGAAAACCGCGGCCGTCAGTAATTATAGCAGCGCAGACCGGTGAAAAAAAGGATGCAAAAGTAGGGAATATACTGGGAGAGGGGGCGAAAACCGCTGCCGTCACCAGGTATAACACCAACAAACTAAAGAAGCTAACTACGTTAGCCGTATATAACTTCGGCAGTGAAGTTATTCACACTGGGAGTAGGGGCGAAAACGCTGCCGTCACCAGTTCGAAACAAAACAGCACGAAGCTGTAGGTAAAAAGCTAAAGTCGTGAGCCGGGAGAGGGGGCGCGGACGCTACCATCACCAGCAAACAACTCACTTACCTTCCGTAATCCTCAGAATCGACCCGTTGCAGCCCTGGGAGGGCGGAGAATAACCGCAACTCCGGTCAAGAGACAGGGGCTTCAGACAACGGGGAAGTTAGCGAACCGCTTGCGAGAAGAAAAAAGGAGCAGAGCAAAGGATGACACCAGGCTATATAGCTTCTGAGTGGTCATCCGGTGTCACAGGTGTGACTCTGTTGGTATAATTACTCGAACTGCGCATGCCCGAAGGGAACATTCAGTGCTTTCAGCACCGCCCTCTGGCGGTCAGTAGGGATGAAATAGAACCACAATTGAGAGACTTGAATAGGAAAAGGAATTTAAAAGCACGATATGTGTTCTTTTAGAAGAACAGTCTAAGTTCTGTTAGGATGAGAACAGCAATAGCTCCAGGATGCGACTGAGGTCAATCTGAACCATGTTGACGTCTTGAGAGATAATAAGCAACACTTGACTTAATGAAGCTGTTCTTGTTTGATTTAGTTTTTTCTCCCAAGTTTTTTCTGTGTTTATTTGTATGAAACATGTTTCACTAAAATCTGAGCAGTTTAGATGGACAGATGTGAGCAGCTGTCTGCTTCCATCTGTCTGGGACAGAACGGGTCCTCATAGCAGCATGGCAGACACCCGGACATAAACCACCTACTGCCGCTGGATTAAATCCCACTATCTGTGTTCATTTAATCTACTTTGGGACCAGTTGTCTCCAGTTTAGACAACAGGCCTGGGTTTAAAATATTTCATTTAGCTTAGTCTCATCCACATTTAAAGGTATTGTGGAGGTTTTTTTACAATTTTTTTTAAAAGAACCGCCCTTTCCACTTAAAAAAAAAAAACTATGCCCATTTCTCCCCATGGACACTGTGTTTTAAAGTTGCTGTTCTCATAGCTCATACCAGCTTACTGTGTCTGAACCCTTAAATCCCTTAATCACTGTATAGAGCAGGCACTATATAGTGAACGTTGGTGAACTTAGTTAACTGACCGTTTGGACAAATGCTCACTACTTTTTGCTCTGTGTAAAAAGTAACTCCTCATCCACTGCTCGGTCCCTGCGCCATCTTTGTTATTAGTCGCTGATGTCGGGTAGTGACAGCCTATGGTGACAGCGGGCTGCTGTGACATCCCATAATGCTTTGCCAGGAGAGCTCTCCACGCAAAGCATTCTGGGATATATCTGCCTCTTCTGGGGAAAACTTTTTTTTTCTTAAATGCAAAATGTTGATATATTTCTTTTTACAATTTTGTGTTAATTTCTGCTCTAAGTGTGTAGCTCTCACCTAGAAACCTGTTTTACAGTCTCTATAATCCAGTTATCGATTACTAAATTAATTGCTTTTTATTTCAAATATTGATTAATCCCATTAATTGTTTCAGCCCTGGTGATCAGATCTTGTCTCTCCTCTAGATTCTACAGAGTATTGCAAACCATGTCCTGTTTACTAAAGAAGAACACATGAGGCCTTTTAACGACTTTGTTAAAAGCAACTTTGATTCTGCAAGAAGGTAAGAGGCTGTTGGTTTTTATGACGATAACGAGCCTTTAATGGAAGAAACATGGTTTTTAGACGACTAAAACAGGACATGCATGGTCTTTATCTAGTATGTGGACTGGTATTACGGTAGCTGGGTTCAGTGTTGCAGTGGTAGTTCTAATCAGGGCCGTTTCAAGAAATTTGGAGGGCCCAAGCAAAATTCAGTTGAAGGGTTACTCCCGTCAAGGCGTATTCTATATATATATATATATACCGTATTTTCACGACTATAAGGCGCACTTAAACATCTTTTTTTTCCTTCAAAATGTGCAGTGCGCCCTATGGTGCGGTGCGCCCTATGTGTGTTGTAACTGCGACTTTTGAGACCACCTCATTGAGGAGATGATGAAAGAGTGGCTGAATGTAAGGAGACCAGGTGTTTTTTTTCCACTCATCACCATCGCTGTTAATATGTAACTCCATGCGTGCCCATTTCACAGCTGATGTGAAAAACATGGGGAAACAAATTAACGCTGTGCTCGCTGTTCAACCGCTCGACATCGGTGTGAACCGGACCCAGCAGGTGCAGCAGAAGCAGCGAGTTTACATGCAAAGTAAATGGTTGACGCGCGTATAGTTGCAGCAAAAGGTCCTGCAGCGCGTTTTGAGCTGCAGGAGCGTTTAAGCATCTGCCAACGCGCTGCTGCTGCTCGAGATGGAAAAATTGTAGTTTTGCTGCTGGACGCGCCGCATCAACCAATCAGAGAAGCTGATCTGGGAGCTGACAGCGAGACAGACACAGCGCTCTGATGACATATGATATTAACGCAAATGGAAAAGGCTGGATGGATGAGGAGATGATGAAAGCGTGGCTGAGGGAGGTGTATGTGAGGAGACCAGGTGCTTTTTTCCACGCATCACCATCGCTGCGTGCCCATCTCACAGCCGATGTGAAAAAAAATTTGAATCAAATGGATACTGTGCTCACCGTTATCCCGGGGGTCTGACAAAGGAGCTTCAACCGCTCGACATCAGTGTGAAGCGGCCGTTCAAAGTAAGGCTGCAAGCGGCGTGGGAGCGATGAATAACAGACGGAGACCACAGTTTCAGGATAAGTGGAAGGCAGCGCCGGGCAAGTTACGCCACCGTTTGCGGATGGATTGTAGATGCTTGGACTAACGTGTCTGCTGGCTCTGTTGTACAAGCTTTTGCAAAAGCCGGCATTATTTCTGAGGAGCCGCGCTGCACGGAAAGTGACTGACAGCGAAGAAGGGGAAATTGGCGCAGCTGTTTAATTCAGAAACAGAGGATGATGACTTTGATGGGTTTGATTAATACTTTGTAATAAATACATGAATAAAGCACAATCATACTCAGTTTTGCTCCCGCTGTATTTTTCTCCCTGAAAACTTAATTCAACAGCAGCCTCTGGGCGGGTCTCCTCCTCTTCACCGCGGCGGCTGGCAGGTGTTTTTTCATCTAAATAATCTAAATCTTGCAGCTATATTTGCTGTGATCAGTGGGAATAAAGTAGTTTTAATATGTTTTTAAGTGAGAAAGTCCACCTGAAAACTTAATAATTGCAGACAGTTCATCCAGATTATCTATTTCTGTCGGAGGCGCTCAGACCCCCACATACCAGCGGTGCGCCGACAGGAGAAATCCTTTCATCAGCAGCCTCTAGGCTGGGCAGCCTCCGGGTTCACGCGGTGGCTGGCAGGTGTTTTTCATCTAAATAATTTAAACTGCAGGCACCCATAAAAGCGAACATATTCCGTCGGCAGGTTTCAGGATTTTAAGTTAATTTAGGAGTGACCACAGCGCTGTGTCATCTGCGATGTGTCTGTCTCACGGCCAGCACCCAGGTTTGATTAATACTTTTTAATAAATACATGAATAAAGCACAGTCATACTCAGTTTTGCCCCCGCTGTATTTTTAAATGCGCAGTAGAGGTATTTAAAGGTAGCAGAGGACATGTACCTGTATATAAAAAACGCGCCCTATAGTCCGGTGCGCCTTATGTGTGTGTTAAATACAGAAATGGGACACATAACTGAGACTGCGCCTTTTAGTACGGTGTGCCTTATGGTCGTGAAAATACGGTGTATATATATATATATATATATATATATATATATATATATACACTATATTGCCAAAAGTATTTGCTCACCTGCCTTGACTCACATATGAGCTTAAGTGACATCCCGTTCCTAATCCATAGGGTTCAATATGACGTCGGTCCACCCTTTGCAGCTAGAACAGCTTCAACTCTTCTGGGAAGGCTGTCCACAAGGTTTAGGAGTGTGTTTATGGGAATTTTTGACCATTCTTCCAGAAGCGCATTTGTGAGGTCGCACACTGATGTTGGACGAGAAGGCCTGGCTCTCAGTCTCCGCTCTAATTCATCCCAAAGGTGTTCTATCGGGTTGAGGTCAGGACTCTGTGCAGGCCAGTCAAGTTCATCCACACCAGACTCTGTCATCCATGTCTTTATGGACCTTGCTTTGTGCACTGGTGCACAGTCATGTTGGAAGAGGAAGGGGCCAGCTCCAAACTGTTCCCACAAAGTTGGGAGCATGGAATTGTCCAAAATGTCTTGGTATGCTGAAGCATTCAGAGTTCCTTTCACTGGAACTAAGGGGCCAAGCCCAGCTCCTGAAAAACAACCTCACACCATAATCCCCCCTCCACCAAACTTTACACTTGGCACAATGCAGTCAGACAAGTACCGTTCTCCTGGCAACCGCCAAACCCAGACCCGTCCATCAGATTGCCAGATGGAGAAGCGCGATTCGTCACTCCAGAGAACGCGTCTCCACTGCTCTAGAGTCCAGTGGCGGCGTGCTTTACACCACCGCATCCGACGCTTTGCATTGCACTTGGTGATGTATGGCTTGGATGCAGCTGCTCGACCATGGAAACCCATTCCATGAAGCTCTCTGCGCACTGTTCTTGAGCTAATCTGAAGGCCACATGAAGTTTGGAGGTCTGTAGTGATTGACTCTGCAGAAAGTTGGCGACCTCTTCGCACTATGCGCGTCAGCATCCGCTGACCCCGCTCCGTCAGTTTACGTGGCCTACCACTTCGTGGCTGAGTTGCTGTCGTTCCCAAACACTTCCATTTTCTTATAATACAGCTGACAGTTGACTGTGGAATATTTAGGAGCGAGGAAATTTCACGACTGGATTTGTTGCACAGGTGGCATCCTATCACAGTTCCACGCTGGAATTCACTGAGCTCCTGAGAGCGACCCATTCTTTCACAAATGTTTGTAAAAACAGTCTGCATGCCTAGGTGCTTGAATTTATACACCTGTGGCCATGGAAGTGATTGGAACACCTGATTCCAATAATTTGGATGGGTGAGCAAATACTTTTGGCAATATAGTGTATATATATATAAGCTACAGCAGCATTTCTATAAACATATAATCCTTTAGGTGAATCTTTGGTTAAAGGTTTCTGATGAGCTGCACCTCTCCGTCTGCTGCAGGTTTTTCTTGGACATAGCCTCCGACTCTCCACCCAGTGATTCGGTCAACCACAGTTTGTCGTTCATCAGTGACGGTAACGTGTTGGCGCTCCACCGCCTGCTGTGGAACAACCAGGAGAGGATTGGCCAGTACCTCTCCAGTAACAGGTCAGGATCGCCCCCATAACTGTTGCTAGCCTTGGTTTAGAAATCAGTTCTGACTAGATGCTTGTCTGCTGGATCTTTCCAGAGACCACAAGGCGGTGGGCAGGCGGCCTTTTGACAAGATGGCCACCCTGCTGGCCTACCTTGGACCGCCAGAACACAAGCCTGTTGCGGACACCCACTGGTCCAGTCTCAACCTAACCAGCTCCAAATTTGAAGAGTTCATGACCAGGTATGAAGTCGACTGCTTTGATTTTTATCTACATTCATACTGGAATGTTTTACTTGACTGACAAAAACTAGCATGTTAGTCACACTTCAGTGTTTCATCAAATGTTAGTCCAAGTAAACATAAAATTCAGTTTTTTACTTATTATTTTTTTAACAAAGGGACAAATATCCAAACCTCCAAATCTGTGTGAAAAGGTGAACACTACACCTGTTCACCAAAAGGTCTTTAGAAGATAGACCACATGCTGAAATCCAGAAAATTGAGGAACAATGACAATGTAGTTCTGGAAAGGGATACAAATCCATTTGTAAAACTTTGGGACTCCATTGAACCAGATTGAGATCCATGATCCATAAATAGTGAAAACACAGGAGAGTAGTGAGGCTTTCTGGGAGGGTACGGCCGACCAAAATCACGAGTGCAGCAACTAATCACCCTGTAGGTCAAAGGAGCCTGATGACATTCAAAGACCTGCAGACCTCACTACCTCAGTTAGGGTCAGAGTTCATTTCTCCACCATCAGAAGGAGATGAAGCAGAAATGGCTGCCTCCCTAAAATGGGAGTCTTTTATCAGATTTATTTTTACTTTTATTTCAAAAGTATTATACCTGGGACTACAGGGGTGCACAAATTTTTACACCAAATGAGACGACGGTCACATTTGGGGCCCTGTCACACCTTGCTTATTAAGCCAGTATATTCCTGATGTCCCAGAATTTCTTAAAACGCTGGCTTACACTGAACTTTCTATTAATTTTTTTTTAAATTTTGGGTATAGAGTATTTATAACGAGTCCAGAACTTATGTCCAACAGCAGCCTGACTTATGTGGCGCCCGGCCTGCATAAAAATATGTCTTTGATCGCGGCATTAACTTAGTTGCTGTTTATCTCCCGTCCAAAAAAGAAAGAAGGTTTGCAGTCACTGCAGATTGAGCGTCATGTCTGCTAGGAAGTTTGTTGGTGGTGGGCGTGAACGCAGGGAGGATCCATCACTCACCTTCTGGCTCACCCTATGATGGGGATGAAGTCTGGAGGAGAACTGACGGTTTCCTCCTGTGAACCCCCTTTATACCAAAACGCTGCCAATACGCCATTATACAGTAGCTGGAAGTTAGAAACACGTTCAGCGCTCGACTGGAACACCTCAGATACGTTATGTGTTGGAGAGAAGTTCTGGATAAATGGTAAATGGCATGTACTTATATAGCGCCTTTATTCAAGTTAGGAGACTTGACCAAAGCGCTTTACACTACATTCATTCACCCATTCACACACACACTCACACACTGATAGTGGCGAGCTACATTGTAGCCACAGCTGCCCTGGGGCTCACTGACAGAAGCGAGGCTGCCGCACACTGGCGCCACCGGGCCCTCTGACCACCATCAGTAGACAATGCAGGTGAAGTGTCTTGCCCAAGGACACAACGACAATGAAAGTCGGAGTCGGGGCTTGAACCGTCAACCCTTCGATTTCAGGGCAAACTCCTACATCCAACGCCACTGTCGCCCCACAGTTACGCACACGTTACGCATAGGTTTAGGATCAGCTAGACGCCAAGACTGATGAGTAACTGACACTTAAGCCAATGTGCAAGTTGCAATTATGTCAACAATCGGATAACTTGCCTGTAACTTATGGCCCATGTGTGAGTATACAGGTGCTGGTCATAAAATTAGAATATCATGAAAAAGTAGATTGATTTCAGTAATTCCATTTAAAAAGTGAAACTTGTATATTATATTCATACATTACATACAAACTCATATATTTCAGATGTTTATTTTGTTTAATTTTGATGATTACAAATGACAACAAATGAAAATCTCAAATTCATCATATCAGAAAATTAGAATATTGTGAAAAGGTTCAAAATTGATGGCCCCTGGTGCCACACTCTAATCAGCTAATTAACTCAAACCACCTGCAAAAGCCTTTAAATGGTCTTTCAGTCTAGTTCTATAGGCTACACAATCATGGGGAAGACTGCTGACTTGACAGTTGTCCAAAAGACGACCATCGACACCTTGCACAAGGAGGGCAAGACACAAAAGGTCATCGCTAAAGAGGCTGGCTGTTCACAGAGCTCAGTGTCCAAGCACATTAATAGAGAGGCGAAGGGAAGGAAAGGATGTGGTCGAAAAAAGTGTACAAGCAAGAGAGATAACCGCACCCTGGAGAGGATTGTGAAACAAAACCCCTTCAAAAATGTGGGGGAGATTCACAAAGAGTGGACTGCAGCTGGAGTGAGTGCTTCAAGAACCACCACACACAGACGTATGAAAGACATGGGTTTCTGCTGTCGCATTCCTTGTGTCAAGCCACTCTTGAACCACAGACAGCGTCAGAAGCGTCTAAAGAGAAACAGGACTGGACTGCTGGTGAGTGGTCCAAAGTCATGTTCTCTGATGAAAGTAAATTTTGCATTTCCTTTGGAAATCAAGGTCCCAGAGTCTGGAGGAAAAGAAGAGAGGCACTTCATCCACGTTGCTTGAAGTCCAGTGTAAAGTTTCCACAGTCAGTGATGGTTTGGGGTGCCATGTCATCTGCTGGTGTTGGTCCATTGTGTTTTCTGAGGTCCAGGGTCAACGCAGCCACATACCAGGAAGTTTTAGAGCACTTCATGCTTCCTGCAGCTGACCAACTTTTTGGAGATGCAGATTTCATTTTCCAACAGGACTTGGCACCTGCACACAGTGCCAAAGCTACCAGTACCTGGTTGAAGGACCATGGTATCCCTGTTCTTAATTGGCCAGCAAACTCTCCTGACCTTAACCCCATAGAAAATCTATGGGGTATTGTGAAGAAGAAGATGCAATACACCAGACCCAACAATTCAGAAGAGCTAAAAGCCACTATTAGAGCAACCTGGGCTATCATAACACCTGAGCAGTGCCACAGACTGATCGACTCCATGCCACGCCGCATTGCTGCAGTAATACAGGCCAAAGGAGGCCCAACTAAATACTGAGTGCTGTACATGCTCATACTTTTCATGTTCATACTTTTCAGTTGGCCAACATTTCTATAAATCCTTTGTTTTTATTGGTCTTCAGTAATATTCTAATTTTCTGATATGATGAATTTGAGATTTTCATTTGTTGTCATTTGTAATCATCAAAATGAAACAAAATAAACATCTGAAATATATGAGTTTGTATGTAATGTATGAATATAATATACAAGTTTCACTTTTTAAATGGAATTACTGAAATCAATCTACTTTTTCATGATATTCTAATTTTATGACCAGCACCTGTACACTACTCCCGTATGTCGACGCGTGCCAGCGTGCTTTAGCGTGCTTTAGCGTGCTCATAGTTTCTACAAAAGGTACCCATAACTTATCCATCATAAGCCAGCGTTTTTGCCAGATTTTTAATAGGTTAGGCATACGCTGGCTAAATCGTGAAGGTGTGACAGGCTTTAACAGGAGTTAAAAAAATAAAAAAGTATGACTAATGCAAAATGTTTTCTTCATAATATCATCTTATTGTTCAACAAGTGACAATCAAACACATTCTTTTATTGTTTAAAATCTAACTTTACAATTTTAAGTGTTTTATTCCTTGTGGCCTGCTAACCCATCCAACTTGGCAGGTTTGGATCAGTAAGACGGGGCAGTTTGTCTCCCTCCCCAGTCCGCAAACTCAGAGTTTAAAGTTTGCAGAGGAAGAGGGACTGAACCTTTTATATCTTTTCTATTTTTAAGGCACCAGGTCCATGAAAAGGAGGAGTTTAAAGCCTTAAAGACGCTGAACATTTTCTACCAGGCAGGCACCTCCAAGACCGGAAATCCTGTGTTCTACTACGTGGCTCGCAGGTAGGACCTCCACTGCTGGAATTCTTTGATTACCAGCACCAACATGTTCAATCAGATCACTTCCCTTGATGGATTTCCTTTGTCATCTGCTAAGAACTGTTACCATGAATGTCCTGAAACATCATCAGGAACAGTTACTGAGAGAATCGGTTCCTTTAAAACTTTTACTGAATGAACAAAACCTCAACTGATGGCTGATTCACATGGCAAGATTTAGAACTCAGGAGATAAAACTTAGACCTTTAATATATGCTGTTAACTCCAAAGAAAGAGATTGTGGTACTAGTCAGGTAACCTGAGGTCCTGACTTGTGCTCTACAGTCCCTTGTTTTTCACTTCTGTCTCATAATGTCCTGCATTTGACTTTCCATCAATAATCCATCAAAAGGCAACCATTATCTGTTCATAAGTGGTGACAGGTGGTGGTCTGCCCAAGTTATGTTAAAATTTTACTGCAATTTTAAGTATTCAGAAATTGTTGATGGAAAATGCAAAAGAAGATAAACATTTTGTCTCACCAACTTTGATTCTGTTCAATGTTCGTAGTAGGGATAGGACGATTTATGAAAACCGTCCGAATCGTTCGGTTTGACTGTCTCTGTTCGGTTCGCGTGTGTTTCGTTCGGTTCATGCCCTGCTCCTTTTTCTCATAGGCGAAGCGTTTACACTCCAGAGCAGAAGGTGGCGCTACTGCGACCAAAGCCAACCACCAGTAGTAAACAAGAAGAAGAAGAAGCAGCAGCGTAGCCGGGTGTAGCAGGGATAAAAATCAGTTGTTGTGGAGAATTGTGTGGGTATGGCGAGTGGGAAGAACAGGAGTTGGAAGACGCGCCAGCAGCACTTTATAGGTCTGCTGTATGGGACCACTTTGCATTTAGAGTGACCTACGATGACGGCGGAAAGAAAGCTGTGGATAAAAGTGCAACAGTGTGCAAGCATTGTGCAACACGTTTTGTTTATGCTAAACAGCAACATGACCAACATGTCATGCTAAGCCCGAAATCCCTCATACTCAATCAGCGCTCCGCCCCGCTGCGCTCCAGGCCGCCTGCACAGAGCAAAGCCTGCAGCCTCCGCTGTGGCTCCCATGCGAGATGATTAAATTCAAAGCAGCAAAACATGTGGAAATGATCCAGGGTTTCCGGGGATCATTAAAAATAATTAAAATTCATAATTTTTTTTTTCCATTAATTTCATAAATTTTTATTTTTTCATAAATTTTTATAATTTTTATTAATTTTTTTATTTTTCGGTGTAACAATAAACATATACCGAACCGAAAACCGTGACCACGAAACCGTGAACTAAACCGAACCGTGGATTTTGTGAACCGTTCCACTCCTAGTTCGTAGCTCATCTGTGTGTTTCCTGGACGGGGCCGCCTGTGGAGCTGGTTGACAGCTGCCTTTTGTATCTATGCTTCTTTTTCTATGTCTGCTTCTGTCTCCTTGAACCCCAGTGGGCCTCAGCAGATGGCCGCTCACACTGAGCCTGGTTCTGCTGGAGGTTTCTTCCTGTTCAAAGGGAGTTTTTCCTCTCCACTATCGTCACAAGCATGCTTGGCGTAAAGGAATCATAGACATAATATAAGCAGACCCGCATCGACAGCTTTCGCCTATGAGCACTGACGTGATTTGTTGGCGCCATCTTGGGGCGGTCGACAGCTCCACTCAGTGTAATGTGTTGAGCAGGAACAGAATCAATTTAATCAATTTTAAATTGCTGAATATTAAATTTAATTCCATGTTTTTTTTTGTTTTGTTTTTTTCTAAAAACAAAAACAAATGTTTCAGTGCTTGTAAATATTCTTAGTAGAGTTAAGACTAATAGAATATTCTGATTGGATGCATTCATGTTGCAAATCACAGCTACTCAGACATTTTTATTACTATATACAAAAAACATTTTTATACAGGTATACACAAATATATATGCACCCCTCTCTCTCTTTGTGTGTGAATATATGCTCAAAAAACTGATTACTACACAAAGTTATCCTTTGATTCATCGATTCAAAGAAAAATTTGCTGCACAATGCTGAAGCATCCTCCTTCTTCTCTGGTTAAACCAGCTGCTTATGGTAGCAGGTCGACCTCCCCAAGATGGCGCCAGTAATTCCTGCGCAGCAACAGTCAATGTGGGGTCTACTCTTATATTATGTCTATGTGAGGGATTGCCTTCGATTCAATGAGTCTATGCAATCAGCTGGTTTTCCTTAAATATCAGTCTGACTGGATGATCTGGTTGAATTGTCTCTGTAAAGTGTCTGGAGATGAAGTGTGAATTGGTGCTATAGAAATAAACTGAATTGAAATTGAATTGTTCAGACTACAGCTTGTTAATAGTTGACTGATAGATGCAGCTAAATTTGACTAAAGATAACTTTTTGGTGTTAAACTGGTTGGAATTCTGTCTGCGGTGCCGCAGCACAAAGTGCCCGAAGCGGCTCGATTAGGGTGCTGTGTCCTCGATGCAGCAATCCCAGGCTGTGATCCAGACCGTTGCTGCATAGGAACCTCTGCAACATCTTGGCCCCTTCTCTTTCTTCAAAGTGTCCAGTAGTGCAGAAGCAGGGTGCCGCCATTTTGACCATCAATGCTGGAAATATCCATCAATCCACCAATTTTAGAATTAGGGTTAACACTCAGAGAAGAAGATAAAGGCTTTAAGTTTGGTTAGGTTTTCTCCAAAACTTCCAGTGTAAACTTTCTTTTCTTTATTTGATAGAACCTAATTGCCAAAAACACAGACGATCAAATGAACAAAGAACATTGTTTAAACATCTCTACCGATGTCAGATCATTTATGTAAGAAAAAACAAACTAGAAAGTGAAGTATAAATTAAAACTTTGATTTAGTGTTAGTTATGAAATGAGAGAATTTCATATAAAAAAAAAAAAAATTATCCAAATAAACCAACTCTTGATGTTTATGTAAAAAGGCGGCATCTTGCTCCTGGAATCGGATGGTTCTCCTTTCTTCACCTCCTTCCTGCCTGTTTACTTTCATAGCTTTTCTGTTAGCCTGATGTACAAATGACCTCCATGAAATAACCGGTTATTCATCATATCTCCAACTTTTCCATGTTTTATTATGTATTTCTTCACAAAAAGAGAAACATTTCCATACACTTGTGATCTTAATGATATATAGTAAACATTATATTTATTAAAGGTAAAGTCCCATCAGCAAGGAATAATCAATGGATCATTATTTATGCCTAAAACTAATACGTTTGCAGTGATTTAATTAATTCAGCATTAATCTGTAAAAAAAAAAAAATAGATACAAATTTTTGTCGCAATCAATGAGTCTGGGAGCGGCCATTTTTGCCCAAATATAGTAACCCCTCCCTCCTGCCATCTTCCAGCAGTGACGTCACGGTGCGGTAAGCCTAGCACCATTCTCCCCGCTTTACAAGCTAAATCAATGGGAACTACTAGACACATCTGCAATCAACAACAATTATTGAAGATTTCCAGAGGACTTCACCATTGAAATTCACCAGAGCTATAGTGAAACTGACAATGCCCACGTGCATGGCAGCTGGATGCTGGAATACATCGGGTAAAAGTGAAAAATCTTTTTATTTGTTTCACCTTTCTGATTCCTGATCCTCCACGGACGGGTTGGTCATTGGATCGCCAACTTGAAGAGGGAGGATTTGCCATCGAACTTCTGGCCAGAGAAAAAACACATAATATGTAGCCAACATTTGGAAGAAGAATGTTTTCAAGATGACTTGGATAATAGCGCGTTGTGACAAACACCAGATACAGCACTGGGACTTGATCAACAGCCGATACCGCACCGTGACGTCACAAACCAGTAGGTGGCAGTAGTGTTCTTTGACAAACATGGATGCCTCCAGTAAAGCACATTCACATGAAAATTACTCTGAATTAAAAACACTTATTTATTGAACAGGATGTATTAATTTCATATTTAAAACTTTCAGAAGTTTGAATTCTGAATATGACCAGACTTCTATTTTAACATCTGAAGCATCAGGGTATCTGGGTATCTTTCCCTGAGAATACTAGTTTCCTACATGCTGGTTGCTATTGTACAAAGTAAAAAATTTAGAGTCACAATTTTCATCTGAGGCTCAACTGTCTGAGCGCTGCTCACAGAGCTGGCCATCTTGGGCTTAACGGTGCTGGTGTCTTCAGAGACGCTGTGAGACTTTGTAGAGGACGTCCACACCAACAACCCGGTCTGATACAGAGAAGGGTTTTCCTCATAGGTAGAGGTGACCATGATGGTCCTTGAAGTGGACACGTCATCATATCCTTCTCCTCTGTTGTTCACCCAGAGGGTTTCCTCTGTAAGTGGAGCTGGCTCCGGTTCTCCGTCTCTGGTGGCCAGATGGTTTTGTCCACAGACGGGTCGTGTAAAGCAGGGACATCCCAGAACGGTTGCACCAGTTTTCTCTGCCCACTGAAGGATTCCCGTTATGTTCTCCTCTTCACATGCCCAGGGATTATCTCCAAGAGTTATGGTTTCCAGTGCCGTCAGTTTATCAAACACGCCTCCCGTCAGACTGGAGAAGTGGTTAGCATGCAGGTACAGTTTGAGCAGCCTCGGAAGGCGGTCCAGAGACCCAGGCAGAATCTGAACCAAATAGTTAAAAGACAAATCGATGCTCTCCAGGTTCTGAGGCATGTTGGTGGGCACGGTCCAGAATCTGTTATGGCTGAGATTCAGAGATTTAACGCTGAGGAGGGTGTTGTTGATGAAAACTATTCTCTCCAGTTCATTGTGTGACAGATCCAGCTGTTTAAGGTTCCAGTGGAAAGCTGTGTCATTCTTGTCCAGAGAGCGAAGATGGTTCCATGATGCTTTAATGTCCCACAAAGACCTGGGCAGGACAGGCGGCAGGCTTTCCAGGTGGTTGAAGGACAGATCCAGGGTTCGTAGCTGAGCGTAGTGGCCGAGCTCGCCGCCGAGGACTTGCAAGCTGTCAGAAAAGACTTTTTTTACAGACTTGCATAAAATTC